CTAATATCGAGTTATCAACAAACCGTGTAGGTTCACTAATATCGAGCTATCAACAAACCGTGTAGGTTCACTAATATCGAGCTATCAACAAACCGTGTAGATTCCCTAATATTGAGCTATCAACAAACCGTGTAGGTTCCCTAATATCGAGTTATCAACAAACCGTGTAGATTCACTAACTTCAAGCTATCAACAAACCGTGTAGGTTCACTAATATCGAGTTACCAACAAACCGTGTAGGTTCACTAATATCGAGTTATCAACAAACCGTGTAGGTTCACTAATATCGAGTTATCAACAAACCGTGTAGGTTCACTAATATCGAGCTATCAACAAACCGTGTAGGTTCNACTAATATCGAGTTATCAACAAACCGTGTAGGTTCACTAATATCGAGTTATCAACAAACCGTGTAGGTTCACTAATATCGAGTTATCAACAAACCGTGTAGGTTCACTAATATCGAGTTATCAACAAACCGTGTAGGTTCACTAATATCGAGTTATCAACAAACCGTGTAGGTTCACTAATATTAAGTTCTCAAAAGGTTATCACGTTAATGTGCTTTCTAAATAATCTATGTTTAAATAACATATTGGATTTCTAAATTTAATATTACTAATTTTATGATTTATCGATTGATACCTATTCCCTGACTGATACGTCTCTAATTTCTTAAAATTCATGTTTCTGACAACACAGGATTATTTAGAATTGTATAATGTCGATCAGTATTCCTTATGTGAAGAAAACAAAGTCAAAATAAACAAAAACAAAAAATTGGAAAAATTCACTCTGGTGATAAAAGGTACTTAAGACTAAGAATAATTTTGTGGGTATTTTAACCTGTGTCGACTCCATTTTCAGCTTTCACAATTTGCCTAATTCGTAATTTTGGAAAATTACGCAGCAACAAAAATGACAGTCTAACTGTATTGCGTAGTTCGGATGTCCTAATTAGTCCTTGTAATATTAGGAATAATACACTATCGCTTATATTCAATAATTAATTAAGTTGATATTAAGTTTGTTATTAATATTACACTAAACCGCCAATTAAATGCTATCCACAGGAACACCGCTATGGCTACTGCTGCACGTGGCACCAATCAAAAACGAGAAGGACCAGGTCGTGCTGTTCCTGTGTACCTTCAAAGACATAACTGCTTTAAAACAACCAATCGACGAGGAAGGTGGCAAGGGTAAGCTAAAAAACAAAAGCAACAGAGATAATGGACATTCAATTAGAAACATAAACAAAGGAATATCAATACACTTTAGATGAGAAAACATCGATCCTAGTGTATACTTACTTTCTCCAGAACTAAAAAGTCCCAAAACAATTTGCCTTGTCAGAATATGACAGCTGATATTTGAAGAATTAAAATAATGTAATTTTATTGAGATATATGAGGTATTGTGCGGCCTGTTATCTAGCGAGAAGGTGGCTCCACTCTACGTTCCCTTGCACATTCCATGGTACTGTGGTGCGCCGGCAGGTTCCTGTCGAGTTTACGGTGATAAATGTAACCACCACAGCTCCCCGTCTCTTTGTCAGGAGTATGGATTCGGCTGTTAATTGTATTTTGGAAACATAGTTTACATATAGTGTGCATGTTTAAACGAAGTTATACCAGTCAAACACGCTTTCTTGCCGCATAAAACTCTGACAGGGGCATAATTACACCATGGTAATACATTACGGCCTAAAAACACAATGATAAGGGATATCTTGCAGTTGATTAACCCAGAAAATGTCTAAAACAGAAGGAGTTTGTTGGACCTTTACTAGTGTGTCCTGGGGAATACAACACGTATACCGCGATTACGGACCTGATATGTCCTGCCCTCCAATCGGCTGCGTGTGACCACGGGCGAATAACGCCTCATCGATTGGCCAGCTCCGCTTGGTGCCAAAATCTCAATAATTGGAAACAGGACTCTCTTGCAGGTCGCTGGGAACTCAGTGGGTACGCTACCGGCTCATAGTGAAAGTTAGACCTATACATTTTTGTGAAGTGTAAATGAGATCAAAACGAAGTGTCAACTAACAATTAAAACTTTTAAACAGACAAATTATCAGTGAGCGTGAGGCGTCATTGCCCTATGAATTTAGACACAAACATTGATATTATTTCTAAAGCTTGTAAAGATGTCACATACGCACCATTGCTCTTGTGGTATTGGAGTTTAGTCTATATTACATCACTAAATTGCTTCAATGTTCAGAACTATTTCTCAGTAGTAAATCGCTTTGTTTGACTGACTCGTAGACCCAGTTGGACCAGACCTCAGACGGAACACACTAAGACTGGTCCAGACCCACCCACTCCATGGCTTCCTGTTGAGAAGTACTGGGCGAGTGCCACTGCGACGCTGGTCGAGCCATGCAATAGTGGGCGACATTGCCACTGCGGCGCTGGTCGAGCCATGCAGTACCGTAGCATATATACATCACCGCCAATGATTGAGCACGTCGTGTAGAACGCTCCGCCATACCATTAATTCAGGCGATTGAAAATAACACCTTCTCCTGAATCGGTGTCATCCTGATTGAAGTCTTTGGAAATCTCAGGAAATAGTCCGACAGAACGTTTCCAATCCAAAACCGTTTACGCTAGGTCTGCGCTTCAATGATCACCCCTCTACAGATAATTGATTAGGATTTCTATCGAGGAATTAAAAGACGTTTATGAATTATTGTTAAGAAAAACGAGACGATTATAGCTGTATTCCTATATAACGATATACCGAGCGTATCCATCACTCCTGGCAGACATGCACATAACCGATTCATTCCGAATGGAACGATTTACCTCCGGAATTGAAACCCAGGCATTTCGTACACAATTTATTTCTATGGGGGAAAGTGCGCCGTTCAAACAATTCAAAATAAAGCAGAACAGTATAATGGGCGTAAAACGTTCGCGAATTAGACCACTGGGAGAGCGGTATACAGCCACATAAACAGGTCTTCTGTAAGCGAGACATCCTCTGACGTACGGATTCGATTTATTGTCAATAATAGTCATGGCATCCTTGGGTTGTTGTCGTGGCATACGGGTACATGGGCACAAACTAGTTTTGTGTAGACATATCATAAACATCCACTTGGAAATCCCGCAGGAGTGCAAGCTAGCCATTACGGAACTCTCGAGACTTATCACAGTAATAGAAGCCAGCCATTATGAAACTCTCGAGACTTACCACACTGCCTGTGTATAAGGGCCATAACAAGATCTTTTCGTACAATGATCGCCTGAAAATTAAATTGCCTCGTCAGAGTTATGATGCAAAGAGAGCTGCGATGTATCAATGGTTTGCCAGGATGAACTGTACCATATCTCGAATCCATTAGATCGGGATCACATTTCTTTTCTTTTCGATGCTGATTTCGCATGCAAGGCCAGATTTTGCGAGCAAACTAAACACATTGTTCGGAACTTGGGGTTCACCAACTCTTACCGATGCTACCATAACATACATATGAGGGGTTGGGGGTATACTATCTGAAGTTGAATCAAATAAAAGTAGAATTGAATTTCACATGAATTTCCTTAAGCAATAGTATTTGCACAAACAATTGATTTGTATATAGGTAGGATGTTCCTCTTTGCTCTACGTATCAATGTAGTGATATCTTGTTCAAAAGCTAAATCAAGTTATGATAACACGCAATCGCAAAATTGTGTTTGAATGATGGACCAGATCACTAACTCTGAAAGTGAATCCAATTCATCATGCCCATTGTCTGGCTAAGACTTTCACGGAATCCATTAGTATCTTCAAAATGCATATTCCAATCGACCGTAGGACACTCTCCATACTCTTGACTCTTTGGCTAAAGTTCTAGATGGACGTGGTTTGGTTTTCGTGTATCATGAACAACAAAAAGAATACGAACATTGGTGAAGCTGCTGAGGTTAATGCTATTTTTGTATAAAAAAATAACAGTTAATCATAGGATATCTGTGTACACGCAGATCCTTCACTATGACAAACATTGAAATAATAACGGAATGCATGTACTCTTGAATTATCCATATGATAAATATTATCAAGAAATCTGTAAAGAAATGCTTCAAAAGTCCATCTTTCTTTATTTTGCTGGAAAACGATGAGCTCCAAATAACTTAACTATTCTATTTTATATCAAAATAAAATATATAAAGGGTTTTGTTAATGAGTTTAAAGCATTAATACTTATACCTCATTGTTGTTATACAGCGGGTATGAGCAAGTTCGCGCGCCTCGCTCGATCTGTGACGCGGAACAAGTCCACCCTACTACAGTTCTCATCACACATACCCAACACAAAGTTCGACAACTCCAAACCCTCACAACTTGCGAACGTAAGTATGGCAGGAGTATTTCTTACATATCATTACTTTAGCTGATAAAGGCTAATGAAATATTATCAGTTTGGCAAAAATGTGTGATATACCAACACGGATGAGAGGCTGATTGTCCTATATTTACATTCCGTCCAAGTTATCGTCATTATTGTCCGAGCGTTGATACTTGTTTATCACATTATAAACATTAAATTATAATTGAACGCTGCATATACACCTCAAGATCATATTCAATGTGATACTGAATTCACTTATGTATGATTTTAGATGATGAACCTGAACGCGGATGTTCTGCCCCAGTATCGTCTAGAGGCGCCCAAGACTCCCCCTCATATCATCCTGCATTACTGCTTGTTCAAAACCATATGGGACTGGATGATACTGACACTTACCTTTTACACAGCGGTCACCGTACCCTACAACACTGCCTTCAGAAACAAGACAATGGACCAGGTCCCACTGCTCGTCCTCGACAGTATCGTGGATGTTGTGTTTTTCGTGGATATTATTCTTAATTTCCATACGACATTTGTGGGTCCAAGTGGTGAAATAATTTCCGATCATAAAATAATTCGTATGAACTATTTGAAAAGTTGGTTTGTAATAGATCTGCTGTCGTGTCTCCCGTATGATGTCTTCAATGCCTTCCAATATGTAGATGACGTAAGTATAATATTGATGTCATTCTCTGTCAAGTTGTTGAAAGTTGACCTAGTTTAATACCCAATCTGTTGTTACTAAAAGTAATGAAGTAGCATCAGTATAAAGGGTTTTATAGGCATCACTTCTCTTAAGCTGACGCAGAATTTCACATGTTTCGGAACACGAAGCCATGGATTGTCTTTCTGTACGTCAAGTCCCACTAATGATTCTAAAATAGACGTAAATACTGTAAAAGAGCTATCGGCATCGCCTTGGTAATTTTTCAAATGTGTATTTCTGTATTTCATATTTCTTATGATTTGTTTGCCTGCTCGAATATATTGTACCAATGATAGGGAAATGGGAGAACGGGGATGACTTTAGGAGGGAGCATACACTATTTATTTCCATTCAAAGAATCAACCCGAAGTAAAACCCAAATATGGGAACTAATAATCTAGTCGCAACATAGAATCTTAATCTTTAAAAAGGGTGGCCCATGTAACACGCGTTGCAAAAGGAGGACATGGGATTAATTGAATATGACAAAAGTCTTGAATTTTCCATTTTGACATACTTTCCAGTGCATAAAAAGCATCCTCCGGGTTTAAAAACATTCCTTAACTTAAGATTTTCAATTGAAAACCTTGAACAACACAGGGTTTCCTTAACTCATAATTCCACTGAAGTGTTCCTTTTGGATATTTCCCTTTTATGGGAATTTATTGCGTAAAGGATCTTCATTCGTGTTTTGAAACTGGGACCAGACGCTATATAAAATATTCTGACATATATGTTATGAAGGCATAAGAGTTCTGAAATATGAAGTATAAATGTCCTTTAAGTAGGTCGTATGGACAATGAAGGAATCATAAAGAAACAACACTTCTCCCCTACATCCCGCTCACTGAAACACTGCAGGGGACACCTCTCGTTCAGCCTTGAGTTTAATAGGTTGAGAAATGCCAGGTAGAAGATTTGTATTGAGTCGTCGTCTCGATAGGCTTTTTAACAAATTCAATCTTTTGCTTTCATGCATCATTATGTGCGTCAACTTGTGAAGAAAACCATTACAGTATTGCTTGAAACGCCAAGAAACAAACAATCTTTATATCTTGTCTATAATACAAAATGTAGAATGTACTCAAAGGAAAAGGCAATACCTTAAAATTTGGAATGAAACAACATTTTCCCCATTTGTCAAGAATTCATCACAGTATAGAAATATGTTATCGTATGGTTTTGTGTTTTTACCGTGTGGCTTTTTCTGTCTATTTCAGGGGATAAGTACACTATTCAGCGCTTTAAAGGTTGTTCGTCTCTTACGGCTCGGGAGAGTAGTCCGAAAGTTGGATCATTATCTAGAATATGGAGCCGCCATGCTTGTTTTGCTCATTCTTGTTTTCATACTGTTTGCTCATTGGTTTGCTTGTATATGGTATTCTATCGGCCTAACGGAACTTCAAAGTGGTCTGGAATATGGCTGGCTTTCCACACTAGCAAATACAACTTTTGAACCTTTTACATGGACTAATACCACCGCAAAAACTGCGCTCACTGGGGGCCCAGGCAAGGGCATGCGTTATCTCACCTCGCTCTACTTCACGTTGTCATGCATGACTGGTGTCGGCTTCGGTAATGTGGCAGCGGCAACAGAACACGAGAAACTGTTTTCGATTTTCATGATGATAATCGGAGGTAAGTATTGAGCGATCAGTTGTTTGACATAACTATATCGATAGCATTGACTCCTAGTAAAAA